TTTACACGTTGTTTAGGCTACTAGTTGCCATGAACGTTCTGTCCGCGTTTACATCTCCGTGTATGCATAAAAATTCGGGGCCCAGATACTTATAGCGTTCGTCATCCGCCGAGGAAGACGAAAAAGAAGAAGTGGCGATTTTATGAACCAAACCGCATTTGTACTAACATTTCAGGAACTTCCTTGTTTCCATCATGAGAGTGGAGCGATTGCCGCTCCTGCTGGATTTGGGTCATTGAGTCTCGCCGTCCGACTCATACTATAGCCGTACTCGACACACGAACTTTGGCCTGCCCATTGGCTAGCGACTAGATTTGACCTCTCCGAGGTTGACCGCTGGCGAGCTCGTACAACCCTTTTTGCCCTATCGATCCTGTCCGAACCGATATGGGCCTTTTGCGTACCACCTGGTAGGCGGGATGCAGGTCTGTAGGTCGTTTGAGAGTACCAATCAAGGACCAACCTTCTTGGTGTTTATGATTTGTGTTTCCCTGCATATTAAGTGCTGAGACTTCATCTATGCAGGACATTCAGTCGCCCGGGATCGCGCTGGTAAGCACTGCTCCACTAACCGTGTCAGTGGGTCAAACGGCCGAGTCATTATCGCGCCAATAATTAACAGTATTGGCAACATTGCAGCAGGTATCGCATAGGTTGCGAACAGCCAAACAGTCATTGTATCAAGTACAAAAATTCGCGAGAATGCGGGGGCTGCCAATCGTGTCAAGAATGGGGTTGCACACCGACTGCATCTTCTAAATCCTGCACCCCTTGCATATTACCCACCTTTATCTGTGGGTTTAAGCGGGAAGTCAAAATGTCAGACAAACAGACTTCGTGTTCCAGCGATCGCATTGCCTTCTTCCTAAGTGCTGTCTGGAACTCACCTTTTCGCTTTTATCAGCACAACCAAGTTAATTGGACCAGCCCGGTTCCTGATGGTGGAATGGGAAAGTGAGTGTAGCTACCGCTCGCTCTTTTTGCAAACCTCAACGGTCATCTTCTTATTTTCTGCCGATCACGCCAGCTTCAATGTGTGACAGCATGAAATGGCAGTTATCCAAATAGTCCAAAATACCGATAATTTGAGGATTTTTACATGTTCAGATTAGACTTTAAAACATTAGATATAATGCACAGACAGCTACCCATTCTGGGCCATGTTTAGATGGATATGGTCTGCCATCGTAAGTAAAAAGTTCAAGATTCTTCTGTACAGTGGAACCTGCGTCTGTGTACACTCCCTCCTCTGATATAACACGAAGGCCAGACATATTCGTCTGCTCTTTAACAGAAGGGGAGTGGTTTTCGGGTCTTGGCTTGTTTCTGAAAATGCAGCTGGAGGCATTCGCATCCAATTCAAACAAAAATGTACTAGATCTGACAGTATTAGCCGTCGGAGTATTTGTAGCGTCCAAAGTGGTGAAAGTACTCAGTGCTGTACATCCTTAGGCTTAGTCCCGAATAGCAGCATTATACAGAAGACAAGAAGAGGAAGAGTTTATTGTGTAACAGCCATCGGCGAAGTAACGGTCTGTGCTAACGCTGCTAAGTCATGCCTGTGAGAGAGTCAGACAGGTTGTAATAAGTACTTCAATAGGTTTGTGGAGCAAACTTAAGTGTTATGCAATTGGGGTGGGTTACATTTTCCAGGGGGTGGCTTTTCTAGTGGCTTATGTTTCACCCGCCGTCGGGTGGTGCGTTCAAGTAACGCATGGGCAGTTGCGACAATGCGGAGAAGCACATATTGCCGAACTGAAATCGGCCGCATGGCTGTAGGTCAGCGTTTCTCGAACCAATCACTCTAACAGTGAATGACCTTCGCGCAGCGAGACTGACGAGTACGCTGGACAGCTAACTGATGGGTGACAACAACCTATTTCATGCTGCTGTTGCCTCTGTTGATGAGAGTAATTTATGACTCAGTTTGCCAGAGGATTTTGAAATAAAACACAACCATATGCAGCCCAAAGTACAGTATATATGACTTTAAATACTGCCTGGGCTACCATAAGCCCAGCCTAGATACAACATACTATGCCTTCTGGAAATATGCTAAATCTATATATATATATATATATATATCAGGTGAATAATTTCAGAAATTAATCAGTGCAGAACTTGGAGTTAAATCTCCGGGACATGACTTTTATATATATATTCACTCAGGAATGGGCGCACACCGATCCACTGGCTTCCCGAAGCAAACAAGCTTCGTATGGGCGATAGGGGTCATGAACACGTAATCACCTACCAGACCGAAGTCGGCCAAGCTATGATAGCAGAGGGGGGACGACAGGTGCGCCAGGTGTGTCTGTGCGCATGTTTGTGTTTCCGGTCCCAGCTGTTGGTCAGGGTAATGATTGGCCAAATGAAGGCACAATAAGCCCGAAGCAGTACTGTATCAATCTACCCGATTTCTCTGTAGTCCCTGCTGTCTCATATATTTATTCTAAAGTTGGCGCACACCGACCCATTGTTTTTCCGAATCAAACAAGCTTCGTATGGGTGATAGGGCTCGCGAACAGCCGACCACCTACCAGACCGAATTCGGACAAGCTATGATAGCGGAGGGAAGACGAAAGGGTCTTGGTATAGATTTAGACAGCACTGTTTCGTGCTTGTTTGCCTTCATCCAGCCAAACATAACCCTGACCGCCAGCTTTGTCCGGAAACACGAACATGCGCCTACAGAGCTGGCGCAGCTGATCCACAGCTGGGGTCTACCAAATGGGTCAAAAGCACTTCGTCGAACCGAAGCTCCTCAGTGCCTCGTCCGCTCTGCGGCGACAGAGCATGGCAGGTGGCGAGGTACTGACGAACTTCGGTTCGTTGACGTGCTTTTGAGCCATTTAATAGACCCCAGTAGTGAACCAGCTGCGCCAGGTGTGCAAGCGCACGTTTGTGTTTCCGGTCCAGCTGGTTGTCAGGGTTATAATTGGCTGAATGAAGGCAAATAATCCCGAAGCCGTGCTGTATCAATCTACCCCCAGACTTTGTCGTCTGTATACCATATATGGTAGATGGGCGCTCACCGATCGGTTTGCGGAATTTGTTCGTCTAGTTGTGCCTTGGGGCTCAAAATAGAACCCACACATGCAGACACACGGCGATTAGTAGTCTAGACAGATAAGGAAGTACCGACAAGTGCAAACCGATCGATGAGCACTCATCCACCATAATAAATTTCCACGATCACAATCGACGACACAACGGGTCGTGGCTCAGTGATAGAGAGCCACTCTTTAACACCAATGAGATATATATAGCGTAGCCTAACGGGGCTTGTTTGCTTCACGAATCCATAGGATCGGTGTAGGCCTATTTCTGCCTAAATAAATGCCCAATCTGCAATGACACAGAATGACAGGTGGCGAGATACTAATTGACTCTCTTTCATCGGAGTGCTTATGACAGTTCGACCATCGGTTTCGATGATGTCCACCGTGTGCCCCACAGTTGCAGCAGCAATGGGAGCAGGGACGGTGACTTACGCAGGGGTTTATAGTGCCGGTAGACTTGCGTAGCATCTACCTACACTCTCTCCTCCTCCCCCGCCTGGACCCGGTGTCAAGACAGAGTCAAGAAGACCGGAGACGAGGGAGGCCGCAGGTGGATGGCTAGGACGGATCCTCACCTTGGCGTTCCACCACACCCCCTGGTCCACACAACAAATAACCAGGATTTCAACCAACACAAGAGAGATTTGGAGGCTGGCATGGCCGAAGCCGCACCTGGGCGTGCCGCCAACGCCTGGCTCGGATCCCACACTGTGATGGGAGTGCCATAAAGGCCACATTAAAAAGGAGCCATTGCAGCCTGACTCTCAGACCGCCTCCGGTCAAGGAGGAGGTCCAAGATACCCCGTCAGTTGGCAACCGTCCAACCCCCCACCTACTGACACAGACATTCACCCCCGCCCAAAACTACACACCGCGACTGACGCTCTCCGTGAACGGACGCTTATCTCTGTTGCAAGCAAACAGCCAACTTACGGCAACCTGCTCTGTGCACAGAATAAACTATTCCTCACAGCCCCGCGACTGCTGACATTAGCCGAAACAAACTTATTGTGCGTGGTATAAGTTGATCTCACATATTTGATCGCCACACTACCTCTTCAAAACTGTGACAGTGCATACTGCTGCCCGCAGGCAGACACTGCTCAGGAATGCAGCAGCAGAATGAACACTTATGGTTGAAGAAGATTGCACTGACAAATTGCCATAACGAAATAAGCAATAAATACGTTTACTGACGCATATTTCAAAAACGGTCTTATGTGCGACCTGATAGTCAATTAGTCCTCGTTGCCGCCTGTATCCGACCCTGTGTCGGGTAACTAGGGGTGTGTGGACTTAAAACATGCTGCGCTGTCATGTTAGACCTGAACCGGGGTCATTCATACGTGTGGAGCATCCTAGAGGGAGGCCTTAGGCCACGGAAATCCTTCTTTTTATTCATGTTCACCATTGGCTTGCTGCTTCAGTGTGGTTACGCTTAAGGGTCAACTGGATCAGGAGTTCCAAGGCCCAGGGCTTCCCTAACTTTGGCTGGGGCACGGTTAACTGACAAAAACAGACAGGCCACAAAGTTGCATTGTTGGCTTCCCAGATGTTATGGGTAATAGTTATTGGTTACTGATCACTCTTCACCACGTTTCTGGCTATAACGATAGAAGATACCGCGTACTTATTGAGATGAAAAATTTGTTATGCAAGAGCCACAACGAAAGGTACATCAGTAGCGGCGTCAACTTGTTTTCCCTCCCCTGCGCATCAATCAATCTGTCTGAGATTTTCTGTCAACTGGTGGTAAAATTGTGCGCGACGACTGATGTGACGTGGAGCCCCAGTTTAACGCGTGTCACACGCATGTACGGCAGTAGTCACGCGGAGTCTGACTAAGTCTCATCATTAGCCAGTGCGGCCACTCTTTCGGTCTCTCGCACTGGCGACACAACCCGCCTGGAGGTCCGTGAGGTCAACAAAAACACGGGTTTAGCAAATAGGCCAATTAGATTCCATTACCGTCTGCAACTCCTCATCTCCCTCCTCCTCCTCCTCCTCCTCTTTCTCCGCCTCCTGGGGCGTCTCCTTCCCTGCAGGTTCTTTCTTTTTGGCTTCCGCTGCAGTGACAGGGCTGGGTTCGCACCTGGGTGACATAGCAGCCATGGCTGGAGTTGTTGCTCCGCTGCTTTCTCCCGTCTCCTCGTCCCTTGAAATAACCTCCGGATCTGCGTCCGCCTCATGCTGCCCCCGACCTTCCGTTTTTACTGAAGCCGCCCGATTTGCCTCCGATGTCTCGTCCAGTTCCTCAGCACGGAACTCCGCCCGGCCATTGCAGAGTACAGCGGCGTCTGGATTATGCTTCAATGAACCAGAGTTCTGTTTGGATACATGAACATCAGCGCTTATTCGTGAGTAAAGACGGAATATGCAGAAAATTTGGAGCCTTAGCAATATATACTTATTTTATGCCTACATTGTAATGCATTTTATTCGTAGATTGGAGCCTTGGAGCAAGCAATTAAAATCAAAATGACTCTTATATAAAGATTAAAGTGGGCTCTGTCGATTGCAGCGGAAACATTATCACTATATTCTCGAGAGGTAGAAAGGCCGCTCAAACGCTCCAGTTTTCATCTTTACGCTACAAAAAGGTAAGGTAGACGGATATCCGTCAGTCAAGTGCCAAAATAAAGCAGCTTTTAAAGAGGTAACTTGGCATAGAAGTTTTTGACTGATGTACAGCATATTTATTCTGACTTGCGTTGTGGACGTTTATTTTTCTCGGCGATGAGTTTTATTGTCTGAGTGAGTCCAAAAAATGTGACCCAAACGGCCATCTGCACTGGAAAGGACGCTCAAACACTCACAAAGTCGTGAAAAATTCTTCAAGAAAAATCTTATTTTGAAGACCGTGGTAGGCATACTGCACGTAATCTGCCTTTATGAGCAATTCATTGAAAACACTGAAGATCGCCAAATATCGACCGATATTTCAAGGAAGATATGGAACTTGAAGTGCTTCAACACGGGAAAAAGCTAAAAAATTGACGGAAGAAAAGTCCTATAACTATGCACAAACTGATCTGTTTGTGATTGCACCTGCCAATTTTATTTAATTTGACTACTCACTGACCGACCTATCAACATGTGACCTTGCGAAGACTTTTATTCCTCTAACGTCCCTATCGGCGAAATCGAGCGAATTCCTGTCTGTCTTAGTTAACCGCATCTCAAACAATGTGCGAAAGGCAAAATTAAGCGGACGTATTTTTGCCTTATCAACCGCGTCTCTAACAATGCAAAACCATGTGAAACTTTCTTGGAATCTAAACTCAAACCGTGGGCTGTCGGCCAACTGCCATACTTGATATTACACTGATTTCACCGGAACATTTAAGTGCAAATTTCATTAAAGGAATGTTGTTTAACTTCATTCTACTCGTGTTATCTTATTCACTCAGTTTTTGCGCGAACGGGTCTTTTATACGCCTTAAACGTAAGTTTGCATGGTTGCGACCATTTGTGACGTTTCCAAAATTTCCGATTTTCAAAAAAATGTCATTTATAAATAACACAATAATAATTTAGTATTGTTGTGTTTTCAACTCACTTGAAGTCTTTCATTATGAACTGGTAGTTTCAGTTCATTCGTTTGTGTCCTTTTGCGAGTAGTTAGTAATGTTTCATAAATTTTGGCACACATTATGATGTACCAAATTCACTGTGTATATGTATACTATTGCCTGCCTGTTGGCAGAATGTGAATAATATGCACTTATTTTGTTGGAACTGGTGGATTTCAGTCCAAATAGTCTACCGCATTTTGCAATGAACTCTAGAAGTTTTGTACGAAGAAGTTACTTTAGGTTCTTGTATAAATTCCTCGAGAAATCGGAACGACCAATACATTAGTATTTCACAACAATAGTACGGAAATACATTTCCAAAAGGAAGTAGAAACGTTTACCAGGAGAGGTTTGCTTGAGAGCTGACGTTTAAAGTAGGGATTTTGCCTATTCATCTTCAGAGACTGCGCACAGTTCGCATTATATGGAGCGCTTTTCTTGATGCGCAGACTGATAATGCCGACTGTGGGGTTGAATCTGATCTCGGACTCACTGTGACCTGTATCGCCCCCCCACACTGACCGCAGACATAACTGGCAGCCTCAATTGTTGCACGCCGTCACTGTCCCCTGCCAAAAATGATCGGAAAACCAGACGGGGGGGGGGGGGCAAAATGACGTGGCGGTGGACTGGACAGTCGGCGGATATCTTGACTTTGTCTACCTGCCTTGAGGTGCGATCAGTGCCCCGGTCCAGCATCACAGCAGCGTCAAAGTTGGAGATGTGTCCCATCTGCGCGAAAGGGCTTGCTACCCCCAACTTTGGATTCAGTCTTCTCAAGGCCTACTCATGCTCATGCATTCGCGTTTGCAGCCATTGGCAGGTTTCTGCTACGCGTTTATTGACTTATTTTCACTACAGCATGGGAAAGCTTGGTCCTGTTTAATTTTAGAACTTGAGGCTTAGAGCTCATCACCAACTATAAACCACTGAGCAGTCTTACCGATGACATTTGGGACAATGAATAATCCAGTTCTGAATAACTGAAAGATTTCCTCCACTGGTAACATAATCCTGGACTCAGAAGATGTACGGTCACTTATATCTATTGCTCTCCCACTTGAGCTACTATGTCCGAACTCTGCGGGCGAACAGTGAGAATATACAATTACACACGAGAATGATGTTTCAAAATGATTGTTTTGTGGCTTAAATGAAATGAACCTTTGCTTTCTGCCTCGAGGAGGTCGCATATCGCAGAACAATTAAGGTACATTCCAAACCACCCATTTAAAATCTACAAGGACACTTTAAGCAGACTTCCCACAATGCAGACTAACACTGATCTCCATCGCCAATAGAAGCGAAGAGACGAGTCCCAGGAAGTAGTCTTGAAGAAGGAGACACGATCGCTGGGACAAGAGCTTTATTAGCCTGACGTTTCGGATTCCTGCCCGAACCCATAATCATCTGCTTTTGTCTGTGATGATGGGTTCGAGCAGGAATCCGAAACGTCAGACTAATAAAGCTCTTGTCCCAACGATCGTGTCTCCTTCTTCAATTACCCGTATATGCTGTTGTCTTTGATGATCGATTCGAGCAGGAATCCGAAACGTCAGGCTAATAAAGCCGTTGTCCCAGTGATCGTGTCTCCTTCTTCAACACTGATCTCCATATTCTGCCCTCCCGATAGGGTCCGGGAATATGGACCACCCCCTCCGCCCGTAGTACAGATGGCTTTGATTTAGGTTCCAGGCGGATTGGGGTTAGGGTTAGTGTAAGGGTTAGAGTTGGGATGGCCATGATTAGAGTTGGGTCTGAAGGTCTGTTATGCCAGGACCAGCAAATCATGGCCTTCGCAGCCTGGTATGCGCAGGCAGTTCTCTGACGCCTTGTTCCCCGCCGTTAGATGCGCTTGCGCTCCTGCTGGGTATACAGGTCTTGTGCATGGCTGCCCAGCCATCCTCCTCCTTCTAACCCCTCGTGGTGATGTTGTTGTGGTTAAAATCTTCGTCAACTGTTTTTGTGGACCAGGGGATGTAGAGTGGAGCGTCAAGATGCGGGCTCGGCCGCGCCATCCACCTGCATCCTCACCCGCCGATAGTCTTCTTGACTGTGCCTTGACTACGGGCCCAGGTGGGGAGGAGAGAGTGCAGTTGGTGCTGGACAAGTCTACACTCAATAGAGACTACATCACGCGTAAGTCATCGCGCCTGTTTCATCTTGCTGTGGAGCTCACGGTGGACGCCGTCGGATCCGACGGTCGAACTGGCGAAATTAGAGTTATGGGAATAAATATCAGGGTTGGGGTTAAAGTTAGGACACGAGGGTGGGTGCCTCCTCGAATTTGGCATAACGTCATTTGTAGTACGACTGTCCATATTTCTGCGCGATAGATGTCGTGGGCACGAACTCAATTCCAGTAGAAACCTACAAGCACGATGGCCGTAGACTCATAAACAAGTCTGCCTCACAGCTTTCCGATGTGGCGACAAATACACATTCACCTCACGCTTATGAGGATGCAAACATACTTCATCTGAATAAACGCGAAGGAAACCGCCATAATTTAGAAATTCACCGAGTGGCCCCTCTCTTCAGTGGCGTTGGCAAATTCTTACCCCCCTTTCTACCTAGTCGTCTAAATCTACGACTGTATCAAGGAGGTCCTCCAGGAGGCCACTGCGAATTCTGGAAAAGCATCATATCCGTGAATACGAGTTCTGCAGCCCTGGGGTTGCAAGAAAATATCAAGAAATTAGGACCAACCTCTACAGCTTCGCGGATCACAAGAAAGCTTTTGTTATTGCGGACAGGCGCGGTCATTCAGATGAAGTGGAGATAATGAATGTCCCAGGTTTCGACCCCATGCCCTCTGCAGTACTGATGGAAGTCATTCAAATAGGGTTAGAAGAGCTAATTATAGGTTATAAAACCGAACGGGAAATTATTCAGACTATTGTGTGCAGGCTTTCACGAAGGCCTTTAAGGCCAATAAGCATTAATTCATCTCCACTGTTGATTGTGTCTCGAACGCTACAAGGAAGGTGGGCATGTTATGAAATCCGGACATTTTCATCTTCGTACGCGTTAGCTTTGGACCAATCAACCAAACGTAAAAAACGTTTAACATGCACTAATTGGCGCCAAATTCCGAATGCTCCAAACCTACGGTAATCGTCAGTGGTAATCACACCACAGCTGTAAATTGATTCCTTCTCACTTGAGTTGCATCACGGCACAAATTACCAATATCTACATATCTACATAAACTTATCTCCACTGTTGATTGTGCCTTGAACACTACAAAGAAGTTGGACAGGTAATGAAATCCCGTCATTTTCATCTCCATACGCGCTAACTTTGGACCAACCAACCAAACGTAGAAAGGTTTAACCTGCCGCAATGTGCACCACATTACGAATGCACCGAACCTACGGTTGCCGTCAGTGGTAATTACACCACAGCTGTAAATTAATTTTCTCACAGTCGAGTTACATCACGGCACAAATCACCAATATCTACTAGGATGCCGCTGTTCGGGCCTCCAGAGTCGAGTCTGTGGCAGGCTGCAGCATTCAGTTTGTAATCTGCGCGACACCCACCTCAATATGAAGCCCAGAATTGCAGGAATGGCAGCAACCCTGTACTGTGCGGTAACCTGAAACGTCTATCAAAGTCAGCTGAGGAATTTTGACCTCAACTGTCTAAACTGGCTCGGAAAGACATCAGAGATGAAGTGACAGAAACTACTCCCAAACACGCGTTTACCGGCATAATTCTCACGCAAAACTTTATTGACTCAGATTGAAATTGTCAGCGCTCAATCTGTCAACATACCCTCACTGCTAAGGGGCTTTAAAGATCTGGACTGACCTAACTGGACGCCTTCCATGGCTGCTCAACCAGACGCCGACATCAACAATACACCCGCACACTCAACACGTCCATGGGCCTATTCGGCCTTATACAGTAGGAGGTGGGGTGACTCAGGAAATGGCACGGAATTCCAAAATAAGTTTTCGTTTCGAAAAGATTAATTAAGGAAGTTTGTAAAACTAATCATAGTGCGACATAAGTTAATAATAAATCAGTTACATCAGGATGCCGCCTTCCGAACAAACTCCTTTCTGGCTGCATGCCAAAACCATACTCTGCAAAACGTGACTACTTAAGTAGCATGAATCTTTCTCATTGATTTTCGATGCCCTTAAAAATTCAATTGTATTTCGTGAAAACCATGCATTAAAATATTCATTCTTTTACTCATTTGGTAGAAAATTACGTTTGTTCTAATTTTATTCTTGAAGAGAGCGTATAATTCGGTTTTTAAAAAGTTCCTAATTATGAGTCATTTTAAGACCGTGAAATGCCTGTTCACACAACACCGTGTCTCTGCATTTAGTAAAGTGGCGGCTTAAGTTTACAATATGGCTCAAGTCCACTGCTGAATCTTATAAACCTCATACGTTTTACTTTCAATGCTGCAGAGAAATGTTTGGTTTTCCGCACGCTGAAAATATACGGCTTGTAGCTTAAAAACTCTGAATACTAGTGTAACGACGGGTCGTCTTCATTATTATCCGAGAATTGAAAAAGTTTTTAAAACGGAGTGTAAGATTGAACGAAGGCGCAACTTTCTACCGAATGAGTAAAAGAATGAATACTTTTATGCATGTTTTCTATAAAATACAATTTAGTTTTTAAGGGTATCAAAAATCGATGAGAAAAATGCATGCTAATTAAGCAGTCCTTTTTTGCAGGATATAGTTTTTACATGCGGCGGAAAGATATTCGTTCGAAAGCCAGTATTCTGAGGTAACTGAATTATTACAGAATTATGCTGCGTGATGATTAGTTTAAGAACCTTATTTTATTTATCTTTTCAAAAAACACATTTCAGAATTTCGGTTGACATTTCATGAGTTAGCCCACCTATTGTACATCCACGGTACAGCAGTCGACAAAATATCACCCATTATGTAAGCTTATATCCTTCCCACATATGCAGTTGCTAAATGAATCTTTTCGGTCCCACGTGCGCAAATATGGATCATCAATTTCTCCCACAATGACGTTTTCCTGCCGGAAATCTGCACTACCTACTTATGTGCGCTTGTCTGGCACGCGACAGGCAGAGATCCTGTGACACAAAATCCACTGCGTCCAATCTCTGCACTGGTCGGCTGACAGACACTCGCAGTTGACTGGCACATGGGAGGGGAAGGAGGGGGTGTTGCTGAATCTGGGAAATTGGTTCTCACGACAAATCTGTGCATCTGTCACCACAACAAATCTGCCGAGCCTGAACTGATCACAAAGCACTAACTGTTGTGGTTCGAAAGGCTGTCAACTAATTAGGTAACTTAGTCTAAATCAGATATGCGAATCGGGCTACAATGGCTCCTTCTGTGATCCGAACCAGTGGACGACCCGCGATAGACGACGACTTTACATACCGTCAACTACTGCACAAAATTTCTTTTCAAGTCGCCTGGACTCGATCAACCCATCGATGTATGAGAGAGGGAAGGGAAAGCGAGATATATCCAGCTCTTTCCAGAAACCAATTCTTCGCAATAAACAACCAAACGGGTTTTGCAACCTTCACAAAAAGCTAGTGGCCACGACATGAAAGGATGCCAACTAATTGGACAACATAATAAGGCTCCTTGACAGGATTTTAATGATCCCTGAATGAAACCCGCTAAGTGTGGCGTTGGGGAGCAGATCTTGAATTAGGCGCGTCAAGGGACTGTTCAGTTTCGTCAGAGAATAAGAAACCTAGAATT